TCTAAAAAAGATTTTAGTGTCTGGTAGTGAGGTAAATATGGTAGGTTATGATAAGAGAGAAATTTATTATAGCAAGTATTAAAGTCACATAATTCTAAAGATGTTGGAGATGACTTTAATAGTGTTTCTTCTACAGGGTCACTTACCATATATCTGGCTCTCACGGTTTCTAGAGAACTTGTAGTCTGCCCTATACGTTGGGTCTGACCATCATTATACCAAGCCTCCAGGTATATTATTTTCTTTTAATTCAAAGAATATATCTTTTAAATACTCAGAAGAATCTTCTATATTATATAAATTTGGGAAAGAAGCATAATCTTCAAAATTATTTTGATTGAATGCAAATTCATTAAATAATTTTGAAGTATTATGAAACTTAATGTCTTTAAATAAAATTCTTTAGAAGAAAATTCACTATTTAATTTAATTTTAGTAATATTGAAATGATCTTTTTGAATATATTTAGCTTCTATCAAAGTATTGCGAATAATTTCAGGACTTTTAATTACAAAAGGTTCATTATCAACAGAAAGAATACATTTAGACATATGCTTACTCAATCCACTATGAGTTGAAAAAGTATGGTTACAAAATGAACATTTAAAGCTAGATATTTTCAGTAAATAGAATTTTTTATAATTATAATAGTTAGCAAATAGTTTAAAAATATTTTAATAATAAATAAAAACAAAAATCAAAAGAAAAGTGAAGTTTTAGCTTATTAATATTTTCTGAAAATCTAATTAATTTTTTTCTTAAAGTATTTAATTTTTTATATTAATTTTATTTATTTCTTTAAATTTTTATTATCTTTCAATATTTTAAATATAAGGTAGGCATGCCTAATTTGACACAGTGCCTAATTTGATGTATCAATGATATCTCGTGAACTAGTAATCTGAATCGCATGATTTTGGTTCCATTCGACTTGTCTCAATGAGACAAGTCGAATAGTACCAAAATTATATGATTCAGATTACTAGTTTACAAGATATTATCGTTTAATTGATCTATAGTACTTTTCTTGCTAAAGAAATCTAGCAAGAAGTAATAATAATGTGTTAAAATCAGATTCTTGACTAAGTAAAATAGCTACCATGTATTATTTAAATTATTCTTACTGATAAGCCCTGTATAACTTTAAATTTTGACAAGTTTTCAATAAATTTTTATTAACATAAGCTTAAGCGTTCTTAATTTAATACAAGTATATTTAAACGTATTTAGACAACCATAACAGTTTAATTTGGGTAAAAGTGAAAGCCCACGGTTACAATATTTATAATAATCAAATCTCATATTATTCTACTTTAATCTACACATGTATAAGTCATAACACGCATAAAAACAATTCGCGTAATAGCATAAGACACATACCAAAAAAAAGTGCACAATTAAGAAAAATGAATTTTTAGATACAAACATTTATGGGAGAGCTAGTGTAATGCTACATAAATAATCCCAAAATATAACTTGCTTAAATGTAAATTGCACAAGTAAAAAAAACTTCATCTAATAACAATAAATACTTAAACCCGTATAGTAATACAAGTGTAATATTTTAGTTTATTAAATTTAAAAACTATAACAAAATATAGTGATCACACTACCTGACACAATTCAATTAATAATGCCCTTAAGGCAATTCAAAATACTCAAAATAACCCTAAAGTTCAAAGTATCAAAAGTATCATACGTGATTATAGTTTTTCAGAAACCACCCTTAGACGTGCTATTAATAACAACGGTCCTTTTGCTTGCCTGGGCCGTGTTAAAATTTTAACTAATCATAAGAAGAAACAGCTTGTTGGATATTGCTTAAACATGCAGAAACTTGGTTTTGGGTTGACTAAGTCTGGTGTAAACCAGTACGTCATGAACATTATTCATCAAAATGAGCAACCCTGCCTTTTTAATAAAAATAGTCCAGGGCAAAAGTGGTAGAAACATTTTATAAATGACTACACAGAGCTTTTATTCCACATTCCACAAACTCTAAATGAAGCATGTATCCAAAAAGCAAATCCTGTTATTGTTAAAGACTATTTTGACAAACTTCAAAGCATTTTTCAAGAAAATTCACTTACCACTGATCAGATTTGGAATATAGTTTATTTATTTTTTATTTTTTCTTTTTTTATTTTGCTTTTTTTTTTTTTTTTTTTTTACTTTGCTTTTTTTTTTAGAATGAAACAGGTTTCATCATTGAGCCTAGACTCAAAAGGTCATAGCAAAGAAGAGAGCACGTCAAGTTTATTGGGTTTCATATAGCAGCTCTCATGAACATATTTTGCTATGCCCAACTATTTTAGCCGTCAGGACATATATCCTACTTTTATTCATTTTTAAAGGAAAACAAACGATCCTGGGCCTTCTAAATGGTGCTCTTGCTGGCTCTGTTATAGGATTCACCAATACTAAATACTTGCAGAAGAGTCTGTTTCAAAAATACATTGAATATTTTGTTAGGTCTATTCTATCTGTGCACTCTGTTTTGTTAATTTTAGATAGCCATAAGAGCTATATTAATTACATTAGCATCTATTTTTGTTATGAAAATAATATTCTTCTTTACACACTTCCTCCGCACACCGCTCATATTTTACAACCAGCCAAATTGCCATTTGCTACTTTAAAAAAAACTTATGATAAAGAGTGTGATAAGTTTCGAATCAATAATGATAGCAAACTTGTAACAAAATACATATTTGCTAAAGTTCTAAAATCATTATATATTACAACATATACATCTACTGCAATATGCAATACCTTTCAGGCTACAGAGATTTGGCCATTCAATCCTAGTGCTATTGGTTCAAACTGTTTAGAACCCTCATTAACAATGGAGCGAATCAATTTTTCACAAAACCTTGAGCTATCATCTTCGTTGTATTTACTATCGTCATTCTCACTATTTTCGTCTTCAGCTTTTTCAGCTTCGCTTCTTTAGCTTCTTCAGCTTTGTCTTTTTTAGCTTCTTTAGCTTCATCTTCTTCAGCTTGGTCTTCTTTATTATTGTCTTTATTCTTTTCTTTTTTCTCATCTTCAGGTTTCTCGTCTTCATCTTTTTCATCTTCAAGGCTGATCCTAGGTAAAGCACATTTTACAAAAAAAAACACTACAAAAAAAGAATTAATATTAGAAATTGAATTATTAAATAAAAGGGTTAAAGATCTGAAAGAAGAATTAGAAACCTCCAAAAATCCTGGTACAATCCCTTTGAGACTTGTTCTTAAGTATCCTTTGCATCATAACACATAGCCGGCTAAAGATCTAAACAATGGAGAAGAAAAATCTGGTTCTCAACCGCCAAAAAAAAAAAGAAAAACTATGCCCTTTTCTCAACTACTTACCAATGAAAAAATCTTTGCAGAAGTTGAGGGAAGTGGAAGAGGAGGCCAAAAAGGTAGCCGATGAGAAGCAGCACAAAAAGAAAGCAGCTATTTAAAAACAAATTGTATATGAGGCTAAAAA